TTTTCCCTTTTTATTTTACGTTTGATATTCAATACTCTCTTTTGCTGTAAAGCGGTCTTGCTAAAAACATATCCGCTATACGTTCCAAGCCTTTCTTGTTCTGTTTCTTGCCTTTATGCGATATCCTTCTTAAGATTTTCGTCAGTTGGGTGTATTGCGGCGTATTCGATATCAATTTCATCTAGATCTTGTTTGACACGTTCAGCTTTAGACTGTAAACAGTTGCTTGTATGTCGACCTAAATCTTCGTCTTTTCTCTTTATTTTACGTTGATATTCAATACTCTCTTTGCTGTAAAGCGGTCTTGCTAAAAACATATCCGCTATACGTTCAAGTCTTTCTTGTTCTGTTTCTTGCCTTTTCGCGTTATCCTTCTTAAGAGTTTCATCAGTCGGGTGTACTGCAGCGTATCCGATGTCAGTTAGTTCTAGATCTTGTTTATCACTCTCAGCTTTACTTTCGTCGTTTCTCTTCATTTTACGTTGATATTCAATACACTCCTTGCTGTAAAGCGGTCTTGCTAAAAACATATCCGCTATACGTTCAAGTCTTTCCTTCTCTGTTTCATCTCTTTCAGTGATATTTTTTCTGAAATTGTCGTCTGCATTTTCTGCCAATGGACGAATCTTTGCATATTCTATATCAACCATTACTAGATCTTGTTGATCTTTTTCAGCCATTTTAGGCTGTGAAGAGCTTGTTGCCAACCGTCAATGTTTGGCCAGCTCCGCTCTATGATTGCCGTCACTATGTGACGTCTTGACGTTCTTCCTTCTGTGACGTTATTAATTACGTCATGAACTTGTTGGTTAACGTTTGTTTTATTAATATCACTATTTGAAAGGGCTCTACCGAGATGAAAAATCTTAAGACAAAATTCGTTTTTTACAAAGATTAAGTGAAGCACTTACAATGGAAAAATCTGCAAAGAATAATATTAAAATATACTCAGAATTAAATTGAAAAAAAGCCTTCTTTTGTGCAATTCTTAGCCCGATTTTAGCAAAGCTTTACAACGCAGTGAGAAATGATCTAAATAATTAACAAACGTTATTGGTTTATACCTACAGATCCAAATCTCGGAAAAAATATTTCCAGTCCCAGCATGTCATAAAACCTCAGTAAAGTCCCTTTTAAAAAGGACTCAACTGAGTTTTTTTTTTTGCATTATGGAACTTGGAATATTTTTCGAGATTAATGCTCCATTTGATGGTGATCTAGACCAAAAACTTGTGTGCAAAATGACATATTGTTCGCTCACTCTGCTTTTTATTTTTATTTTTATCAGAAAAAAATATTCTTATTGTGCAAAATGATCCAAAATTGAAAAGCATTGCAACGCTTTTCACTCAGATGGGGTTAAGAAAAGGCCTATAATACGATTTTCAATTTAATCTCAGTATATTTCTTAATTATCTTTCGCATACATTTCTATTATTATTGCCCCAGCTGATCAACGTAGGAAATTCAAATTTCAAGTTTTTAAGCGTAGGACCTTAGTGGAGTTTAAGTTTATTACACATTTTGTTAGGCTGTGTATTAAATCACATCGACAAAGTTCATATGGCGACTTAGCGCGGAAGACCTTGTGTGTTTTTATTTCCATGCATTATTCAGGCGCGAACGGGTAGAACTGCCAGTCAGCTGAAATTATGCTTGTCGGATAGTTTCTTCCCAAATAAGAATGCAAAGTATAAAGTCGGAAAAAACACACACTACATTCAATTAAAACAAATACATGTATTTTACAACATATGCAAAGTCTAAAGTAAAAGAAAAACTTGTACTTACGGTTTATAAAAGTCTACAATGAAGAAAATAAAATTACTGCTGCATACTACAAGTAAAATTTATACAGTATTCTATTCTGTTCAATTCTAGTATATACAATACATTGTTGTAAGGGTCAAATGCCATATTAACGTTTCAGGTATATCATAAACATAAGCGATAAAACATATTGCCTTTATTAACTAATTCAATAATAAGTAAAAGAAACTTACATGGCGGTGCAACGTCTTGATGCGTTTCACTGTTAATTGTATCATACGCAGGCGGTGGTTCGAGATTTGCGACAGCAGACGGACTTTGTTCTCCTGGTTGCGCCGTCCCATCACTCGTACAGGTATCTTAAAAAAATAGAAGTTTTATGAACTCTTAGACAATCAATAATATATAAGAACATATTTTGACAGATTTTCCCAAATCCCTTAAAAGTCTCGTCATTCCGTTTTTAGACATTACTCAACCCTTCGTGATACTGTAAAGTGTAGAAGTTGTGTGAAAAAAAGAAGATGAAAACACAAAGAGAGGCTGTTGAAACTTCAACTTTCATAAAATGACCCTATGAAAATAGTCCATGTTAGAAATTAGTTTAAAAGGGTAATTTTAGGTCTCTTTGGTATGGTGGCTACAGTTATTGACTTCAAGTCACTTGTCCCTTACCACTCTGGGTTCGAATCTCGTAAGGGTTTTTTTATTTGAGAAAACCATTCAGCTAGCTTATGGAAGACCGGAGGGTAATTAATCAGATTCTGCACGGGCATTAAATAAAGCACGGGAGACAAAGCTGCAACGCCGCCATATGACATGCAAAGTGTTGGTAACGTAAAGCCATTGTTTGAATTCGTATCAGCTGATTTATTATTTTAGAACAATTCAAGTGACGCATATCCTGTACAGCAGGCTAAGAATAATTATGAATCTGAACAAATACTAATAAATGTTGTACTCTAACCCTTAACTTGCACGAACCAAGGTTTTATACTGTTGACCGACTAACTTTATAACTCTTGATATCCCTAAATTGATAATGGAGAGTTCCAAAAATTAAAGCAGAACGAATCCATTACATAAAATAAGGTGGGTAAACTTTAAAATTGGAGATGTTTTATATATTTTACTGGATAATGAGTCAAACGCCGGAAGTTCAAAAAATAGAATAATTATACATGTACAACAATCTTCATATTCGTCTGCCTCATAAAGATTGGCGGGATTTTCTTTATAAAATATGGGTTTACACTGTCTGAACATGTTCTTATAAATCAAATTCTATAGATAGTTTCCGATAATCGCAGCGATTTTTACATTTGCCAAAAGAGGCAGCCATATTTTGTTCAATATTCTATTGAATACAATTGACAAAATATCTTAAAATCAATATTAACTGTTGATATGATAGAATTATTAGAGATTTTTTATCTTATCCTAATATTTAAAATATGATATAATCCCTAATGCTAAAGTTAAGCATATAAAATATTGTGAATGACCCTCAAAATGGCGACCATGTGTTCAAATGTTTAATTACTTTTACTACTTGTAGTATTTATTAAATCAAGAAGAATATTTAAAGAAACGCATCTGTTAGTTAATTCATCAGCAAATAATTGTAATACCTCTTTCACGTAAGAGCTTCTGCAGTTTTAAGAAGTCCTCATCAACATTACTTTCCATATCGAACTAGAGTTAGGTCTGTGTTTACACCCTTGTGTTACTGCGTTAACGGAGTTACTTCTCTTACACTGCGTTTTCTGGAGTTCCTTCCCTTACACTGCGTTATAGAAGTTTCTGCACTGCGTTATCAAAATTCCTTCCACTACACTGCGTTATCAGAGTTTCTTCCCATCAATCTACGCAGTCAATCTCTTTCCTTCCACTACGTTATCCTTAATGTGTGTAATCGGAATTGCTTTCCTTTCTCTACGTTGTACACCAGCGTTATCTCAGAGTTTCTTCCCCTTTCACTGCGTTATCGGAATTTCTTCCCCTTACGCTACTTTTATTGATAATCTGAGAAATACAATTTTTAACTATGTGAAGATCAATCAATATAAGCTAATATTCATACAATATCGTGCCTATTATTTTATATATAAAAAGTATGCTACAAAATAAGTAACAACAGCTACGCCCCTGATACGTAATCCAATAAATGGATACACTACAGTTGCACGTCTAGATATCACATTACAGTACTTTTACTATGTACTTTTACTTCAATCTTCTGCTCATGTATATATAGGTATAATATAATGTATCTTAATTAATAGAATCGCTGAAGCAATACAGATATGTAGGCTACTTTATGTTATCTACTTTAGGCAACGATTAACATTGCCAAAAAAACACCTACGAAATAATCTACTTACAAAACAAAAATAATCCCAAATAATTCATAAGTTATCACACACAGCACTAAAATAGTATGCTTTGAACGCCCATATCGGACATTATGTTGTGTTATTCTAAACACAGATCTATATGCAACATCAAGCATTCAACACAGCGCTGTGCACACATACACAGGTTATCTGTTTCTCGAGAAATATCAACTATGTAATATGCACTGTTGTTTTTTCTTACAGTTTAAAAGGAGAATTATTTCAATGTGCGTCAAAATTTCATGCGCAATTTCGTCAATTTGCATAATTGAATTAATTAAGAAAATCAAAATTTAATTTCATATGTTAACAAGTATTAATTGTTCACATACAGAAATTTCATCGTATATAATTATATATACATTCTTAATCGGAAACATTGTATATTGGGTATAATTGAAAAGATAATATTTACAAATTAAAAACAAAAAAAAAGAATGAAATGTATAATGTTATAAGACTTTATTCACGAAAGATTGTTCACTAAATAGTAGAGCATCAGTAGTAATTTGCCGTTAACATAGAACATGCTCATCAATTTATTATAACGCGGGCTATATTATACTTTACCTGTATAATCTCTTTCATCTACATGTATGTGAACGCTCCAGTATGCCGCGTTTTACAAAGGTCAAATACGCTATCGAATGTTCGGAAAAAATAAAACACTGTAAAATGAAAATGCGAAGTGCATAATAAAATATAGTAACCCATCAAGGTTTGGATATTTATTTACGTTGTTTTTAAGTGAAGTTTTGACCAATAACACATTCTGTTACACCAGTAAATTTAAGTTCTCATACCCTCTCATTTGCGGAAGATTGCGACCACCTCCAATCCGCGCCTGTAAACAAAAATTACTCGTTCTTAAATTGTTTACATTACATGCACACATACAAAATGAAATTAAAGTATGTAGAGTTTTCTTACCTTGATTTGAGAATAAAACCACCTGCGCAGTATATTCACTAACGTTTAGTTTAGTTGTTAAGCGAAATGGTGAAATATGAAATTATACTCTTCACTGCGACTTAATGCATACAACGTTTAATTAATTAGCAATAAGTGAGGTATTTTGACTTTACGGCGAATGATCAATGGCCACACGTATTTACTTCCGTTCTAATTACATTTAATAAAGTACATTTAAACAGAATCGATGATGTATGTACGATCAAAGTCCGGTTTGCTCAGTACTAAAACAATACTCTGTCTTACTACACACTATTTATGGAAAACTATGAACTGTCCATTTTGCAGATGAAGGTCAAAGGCTGTTACGTGACCTCACTGTCACTTAGGATTTAGGGAGTTTACTATAGAAAACGTGAAAAAATATAAAAACTTAATAATGTAAATAAAACAGTCTTATTTAGTATAAAATATTATCTGAACTTTACATAATTAATTGAATATTACTTCATATTTTCTACAAATTTTACGGATTTTTTTTACTATTCTTTAAAATAAAGAACCAAAGTTTAGTAATTCCTCCCTTTATCTCGCAATATATGAAATCCGTGTATCCGGTTGATTCAGATTCTGACGTTTATCCGTTTAAACGGTTCCGGTCGGTTTTTAGCCAAAATACACTTTGCCTATACATGGTATATGTGTTTTTTTATATCTATATATAAAGTTGCCTAGATATGCCAAACAAAGTTCGGTTTAACACGATATTTTATAAACTGGTTATTCGTATAGTTGTTAGTTTTATTTATGAGTTGTTTAGTTTTTGAAGCTGAAGCCTTCCAGCTGGCTTACGAAAGCTGAAGATGTGTATTAAACAGAATAATTATTTCAAATTGTTTTGTTATTACAGTTTCTATGTTCCTTTGATTTAATTGTTGTGCTCTTTGAAACTTGTTTGACGGAGATTTAGTATTGTATTATATGTATTCGTAACGTAATTCTGTTCGGTGCAATTTCTTTTTCCAGTTTGCATGCACATGTATAAACTAGTGTGTCCGTTATGTCTGTACTTTATCTAGTTTCAGTTCTTTCTGTTAGTCTGTTTTACGTCTATTGTTACATCTACTTGTAGTCTGTCCATTCCTATTTCTATTTTGTCTATTTTTCTGTACGAAATCTGCTGTGGTCATAGTATTATTTTTACAATAGGTTTATCTCTTAGATTTGGTTTGCTAAATTGCTAATCATGGTCATGCAACTACATAGTTAGGTGAAGAAGCAGGCGCTTGTTTTGGTTGAGTCTATTATGTTTTGTTTAGGGGGTTGAGTTGTCATACACAAATTTACAATTTATATGCATTTATTTTTTTCCAATGATTGTTATTATCTTAAATGCTTCTGGGATTGTTGTTTCATCAATTCATTTGTAAATAAGATTGTTATATGTCTATTAACGAAATAATTTTAATGAACACGAAATTAGTTCACACCTACATGTGTATTGGTAACGTTATGGTTTAAGCCAATGAAAACACGTCAATATTATTATACTCAGGCAGAGAAAAAGTGTGCAAAGAGTAAATCGATAATCTTTATGTAGCCAGCAAACTTTGAATTGCAAGTATTTTTTCATATCTTTTCGGCGAGGATTCGTATCGTAAAATGGCTGCCATTTACAGTATCAAGTGATTATCCCAAGCACCACCGCGACTTAGCGCGGGAATTTTAATTATAGCTAACCTCGGCGCGTATACCTTTTTCATATTTTATTGTAATAAATATTTACAAACTGCGTATTTCGGGTTTTTTTTATCAATATATAACCAATAATGATGTTAATATGAATAAATAATCATATCTCAAATCTTTGACTATGATTTACAATGAAATTCTACCTTAAGTGTATTAAAAAGGTTTTTAATTTCCTGTAATTTTATTTTGTGATTATGCTTCAAAGCAGTCAATTGACTGTGAATTTTCTTTTCATATTTTGATTTCCTTAAAATCATTTTTCTCATCTGAAGGTATGCAACTTTAATATGGTGATACATTAATTACATTCCATGAAAATGTTTAAAGATATAAAACATCTTGTGACATGTTTGTTCATTTTACATTACACCTTTAATTCAGCAAACATAAAGTCTTCACAAAAAGTAGTATGCAATCGTACCTATATTACATACGAATGTATGTAATATTTTTCTTGTTTACGTCATATATATGTACAGAATCCGTTTGGTGCAAATCTGTTTCAATTGCTTCTTGTATGACATTTCTGTTAAGACCGTCCTTATTTATATGTGTACTTCAGTGTGCTTCCGTTAAGTATGTCCATGTATGTGTTTTTTTTTTCTGTGTATTTCCGTTAATAATGTGTGGTTCCGTTTAGTTTGTTCATGTATGTGTATTTCTGTGTATATCCGTTTAGTATGTGCATGTATGTTTATTTCTGTGTATCCCCGTTAAGTCTGTATCTATGTATGTGTATGTGAATTTCTGTTAAGTCTGTATGTATGTGTTTGTGTAATACCGTTAAGTCTGTATGTATGTGTCTGTGTATTTCCGTTAAGTCTGACTGCGTATGTCTGTCCATGTATGTGTTGTATGTGTATTTTTCATGTATTTGTATTTCCGTTAAGTCTGTCTGTATGTGTATGTTTGTGCATTTCCGTTTAGTCTGTCTGTATGTGTATGTCTGTGTATTTCCGTTTAGTATGTATGTGTATGTCTGTCCATGTTTGTGTTGTATGTGTATTTTTTCATGTATGTGTATATCCGTTAAGTCTGTCTGTATGTATGTATGTGTATTTCCGTTAAGTCTGTCTGTATGTGTATGTGAACGTGTATTTCCGTTAAGTCTGTATGTATGTGTCTGTGTATTTCCGTTAAGCCTGACTGTGTATGTATGTCCATGTATGTGTTGTATGTGTATTTTTCATGTCTGTGTATTTCCGTTAAGTCTGTCTGTATGTGTACGTGTATTCCCGTTTAGTCTGTATGTATGTGTCTGTGTATTTCCGTTAAGTCTGACTGTGTATGTATGTCCATGTATGTGTTGTATGTGTATTTTTTCATGTATGTGTATATCCGTTAAGTCTGTCTGTATGTGTATGAATGTGAAGTTCCGTTAAGTCTGTCTGTATGTGTATGTGTATTTCTGGAAAGTATGTCTGTATTTGTATGTCTGTCCATGTATGTGCATGTATGTGTAGTTCCGTTAAGTCTGTCTGTATGTGTATGTAGGTTTATGTCTGTTAAGGGTGTCTGTATGTGTCTGTGTCTTTCCATTAAGTCTGTATGTTTGTGTATGCATGTTCATGTATGCATGTGTCTTTCCGTTAAGTCTGTATGTTTGTGTATGCATGTTCATGTATGTATGTGTATTTCCGTTAAGTCTGTGTGTATGTGTGTATGCATGTCGATGTATTTGTACGTCTGTGTATTTTCGTTAAGTGTGTCAATGTCTGTGTATTTCCGTTAAGTTTGTCAATGTATGTGTACGTTTGTGTTTTTCCGTTAAGTACGGCCCTATTTGTGTATGTGTATGTCCATGTCTGTGTATTTCCGCTAAGTATGTATATGTATGTGTATGTATGTGTATTTCCGTTAAGTTTGTCCATGTATGCGTATGTCTAAGTATTTTGTCTCTCCTAAGCTTAAGTCTGTTCATGTATGTGTATGTCTGTGTGTTTTCGTCTAACATTACTTGCGGTATGTATTATTTGTATGTTCTTATCCGTTCAGTCTCTAGTCATTTAGTATGTGGAGTAGCGGGGGATCGACCTTGCGACCCCTTGAATCGTAGACAGTCAGTGTTACCACTGCACCACAGCGCCCGCTCTGATTTATAACTGTTTTGGAAACTCCTATATACATTATCTCTTCAATGGCTTAGAGTTTTGCAATTAAATTTTAACACCTTAATCCTGGTGGCCAACCCACGTGCATTTTGGGAATATCGTAAAGATCATCACTTGATACAGGTAATCGTTTACTTTTGTTGTTACTTGATAATTTTTCTGTAAAAAAAGCTTAACTTTATCAGAAGGCGGTGTAATCCCTTAACTACTTTTGTAGAATTTTCCTGATGTAGTGATTTAGTGAACGTGATTTATTTTTTAGAACCACTATTGTGTCATAAATGACAAACACATGTACTTAAATTGTCTCAGATCTCTATATTAAAGCAATTAACAGGTCAATATGCAGGTAATGAAACGTGTAGGATCCTATTAGAAACTTGTCTCGGAATATGATGTAAAATTACTTTTTAATAAGTATTTCGAAATCGTACATCACATGACGTATGCACTATATCTCAAGAGATCTATATTGTAAAAATTTTTGGAATTGCAGACGACACATACTATTTCGGACTTAATGGACGTATGACATCAAGGGAGCTAATTTAAGATACAATAAGATACAAAATACAGATTCCTATACAAAACATTAACTTTATTTATAGCAAAAACTGTATAGCAAAAACATTCAGATATTATCACTGACAAATATGCTGAGATAAATGATAAGACGTTTGTTTTATTTCATAGCCTCCACATTATACATCATCATGTACATCATACAAAAGTTACATCATACAAAATAAGAAAATATACGAAACAATTGTACAACAGCAAATTGAGAATTTTCAAATAATTTATTTAAGCAAAAGGTAAAAAATCTAAGGCATATTTTATGTATCAATTTCATACTCTTGTATGGTAACATAATTATGATATGCTTAATTCTGTAGAGGCATTTACTCAACTGATATACCAACAATGCTCACTTTCTCTGTCCGTACACCTCAAGTCACGTGAGTAAAATTACCTGTATAACATTTCAATAATGCAAGATAATCCATCTACAGTAAACTCCTCTTAAAAAGAAATCGTTTATATGGATATACCTCCTATATCGATATACCGCCTATGTCGATGCTGTTGCCGCGGTCCTGACTCAGTCTGTCTTACAAGCCAAAAACAACAATATGACAATGGTACTAGGAACTTTAAGGCTATACTTGATAAAGGCATTAAGGCAGAATGAAAAATGTACAACATAATTATCTGCCCTTGAATTTGCAAATTTCAGTGATGTCAAAGGAAGTTAACTTACATAAAGGTTTTGCATACCTTACTTTTTCTTCTGGTTACTTTTTTACTTTATCCATTGTCACAATACAAAATTTCGTTCCATTAAACGTTTTTGTTACATTTTTTTTTCAACGTCAAATGACTGAAAATTCATTAAAAATATACCATTTTGTAAAGAAAATTGGCTTAGGTTTAAAGTGGATTGGTCTACAATGGGAATATTTTCCAAAATTATTTCAAATACAAATAAAAACAATAGAATTGTGTCATTTGGATATTCTTATGAAACAATTATTCGGGGGGAAAAAGGTTGACAAAGGTCTTAGGTCCTATGAAATTTTGTATGATGAATATTAATATTTTGTTCTAGAACATTTTATTAATTGCTATATAGATATAATTATGTTGTGTTGGCTTATATATCTCACACTTGTCAATAACATTTATGAATAATTTTACGTGGTTTGTTATTATGTCCGTTACTAAAAGCTATTAACGACTATTAAAGCCTTAAAGTATCATACATTGTTGTCAATTTTATTGCGCTTTTGTCCTACGCAGAATGCGCATGCGCGAAATGCAACATTGGTTGCTATGGAAGAATCGTATTGTAAAAAGGTCTATTGATGACATTTCATTATTATAGGCCATTCACTTGAAAAGAAGAACAATAAAAAAAATACCCTAAAGCAGTTTTTTTTAAATTTTTCAGTCCCACGAAAGGAAGTCAGCTACATGTAAAATGTACATGAAAAACAAATGAGCCGTGTCATGACAAAACCAACATATTGGGTTAGCGACCAGCATGGATCCAGACCAGCCTGCGCATCCGCGCAGTCTGATCAGGATCCATGCTGTTCGCTATCAGTTTCCCTACTTGTAATAGGGTTTGTAAGCGAACAGCATGGATCCTGATCAGACTGCGCGGATGCGCAGGCTGGTCTGGATCCATGCTGGTCGCAAACACATTATGTTGGTTTTGTCGTGACGCGGCTCAAATTTTTGATCATCCTACGAGAAACTGTGAATTACCTGTCCTTCAGATATTAAAGAAATTTTCAAATTCAAGGGCAGATAACTAGAAATTAATTTCTGTAAAAAAAAACCTTGTAATACATGTATATACCTTTGAACTCATATTTCACCAAAGCGTTTCATTTTGTCTTCATACATTGCTTTCATAAGAAAGCCAAAATTCGAATGTTTTCAATTTTTATCACTTTTATCTGAAAACATTGCCCAAATAAAAAGTACTATCATAAGCACCAGAAAAATCCAATCAAGCGTGACCATGGCAAATGCAAATTTGATAATTACTGTGTCACAAGTTCCATAAGAACAATTTTCTGTTATTGTGTCGGTACACGGTCTGAAGTCTTCTGCCATCACAGTGCTATAAGTAGGGTACACCCATACCGAACCTATAAAATATTTAGGTAAAACAATTTAAATCGGGTAAACCCATATCGAACCTATAATAATAGTGTAACAATACAATTAAAGTAATGTAGACCCATACCGAACCTATAATAATAGTTCAAAAATACAATTAAAGTAAGATAGATCCATACCGAACCAATAATAATAGTTAAACAGTACAATTAAAGTAAGGTAGACCCATACCGAACCTATAATAATACATTGTAATTAAATAATACAATTCAAGTAAGGTAGACCCTTACCGAACCTATAATTATAGTTAAATAATACAATGAAAGTAAGGTAGACTCATAATAGTTAAACAATACAATTAAAGAAAGGTACACCCATACCGAACCTTTAATTATAGTTAAACTATACAATTAAAGTAAGGTAGACCCATACCAAACCTATAATAATAGTTAAAAATACAATTAAAGTAAGGTAGACCCATACCAAACCAATAATAAAAGTTAAACAATACAATTAAAGTAAGGTAGACCCATACCAAACCTATAATAATAGTTTAAAATACAATTTAAGTAAGGTTGACCCATATCGAATCTTATAATAGTCTAACAATTAAACTGATGGGTTAAAGGATGATAACGATGAACATAGAATAGATGGACAATATAAATATAGTGATTGTTTAACTGTTTCCACGCCATGCCTATAGAAATAGTTAAACTATTCCGATACCGCACCTATTCCGCACCTATTTTCCAGTACCGATTCTATTTTCCCATTCCGAACCTAATTTCCCAAACCGAACCTATCTTCCCATATCGAACCTAATTTCCCATACCGAACCTAATTTCCCATACCGAACATATTTTCCCATACCGAACCTAATATCCCATACCGAACCTATTTTCCCATACCGAACCTATTTTCCCATACCGAACCTATTTTCCCATACCGAACCTAATTTCCCATACCCGAACCTATTTTTCCCATACCGAACCTTATTTCCCATACCGAACCTATTTTTCCATACCGAACCTAATTTCCCATACCGAACCTGATTTCCCATACCGAACCTATTTTCCCATACCGAATCTAATTTCTCATACCGAACCTATTTTCCCATACCGAACCTTATTTCCCATACCGAACCTATTTTTTCCATACCGAACCTAATTTCCCATACCGAAACCTGATTTCCCATACCGAACCTATTTTCCCATACCGAATCTAATTTCTCATACCGAACCTATTTTCCCATACCGAACCTTATTTCTCATACCGAACCTATTTTTCCATACCGAACCTAATTTCCCATACCGAACCTGATTTCCAATACCGAACCTATTTTCCCATACCGAACCTAATTTCTCATACCGAACCTATTTTCCCATACCGAATCTAATTTCTCATACCGAACCTATTTTCCCATACCGAACCTTATTTCTCATACCGAACCTATTTTTCCATACCGAACCTAATTTCCCATACCGAACCTGATTTCCCATACCGAACCTATTTTCCCATACCGAACCTAATTTCCCATACTGAACCTATTTTAATACCGAGTTTATAATGTTCATACCATACGGCGATACCAATAATAAAAGTTAAGCTATTCCAATGCCGAATCTATTATGGTTATTTAATCTGTCTTATATTGTAATTTAATTATTATTATCTATAATAATAATAGTTAAACAATTTCTCATTCACACTCTTTGGCGCATTTATCATTCACACACTCACAAAAAAGAAAAAATTGTTGCAAAAAACAAAACAAAACAAAACAAAAACAAACAGCTAAATTTTCGTTAAAAAACACAATTTTCTCGAGCCAGCAGTTTAAACAACATTTGTCTGATTTCTTTGCCGATTCGATTTTGTACTAGTTTTGTACTTAAGCCCCAGTCACATTACAGCTTACGACCACAAAAGACCAGTTGACGATCACCAGTGACCACTTAAAAACATCTTAAGACGGTCATCGGTGATCTTCGATAGTCGCAGGTTATCTTATTTAGGTCCCACAACCAATTTCAGTCGTAGAGAGGTTTTTGAGCTTGCACAAAAACCTCTCTGCGATCAAACAGGTTGCTAAAACCCCAGTCACACTAGAGCTTACGATTACTTGCGACCACCGGCGACTTGTAAAACTGACGATCATCAGCGATTGTCTGCGACCGAAACCATTTTTGCACAGATAAATTTACTTTTGCGAGTATCGTAAGACAAGTCATCATTGACAATCGCACGACAGGTCATAAGTAAACGTACGATGGTCTCAAGATCGCCTGGGATTACTTACGACTACCCGTGACATAACATGCGATCACCTACAACTTGTCGTACGACCATTACACGATTACTAAAGACTACTTAAGATTATCAATGACTAGTGGCAATTTGTAAAGACTGTCGTAAGATTGTCGCACTTCCGAACGACCATCGTGCGACAGCCTTAAGACCTTATAAGATCACTAGCGACCTGTTTGATCGCAAGGAGGTTTTTTGTGCAAGCTCAAAAACCTCTCTACGACTGAAAATTGGTCGTGGGACCTAAATAAGATAACCTGCGACTGTCAAAGATCATCGATGACCGTCGTAAGGCGTTTTAAAGATTGTCCGCGACCAGAGGTCACTGGTGATCGTGAACTGGTCTTCACTGGTCGTAAGCTCTAATGTGACTGGGGCTTTAGTGATCTTATATAAGGTCTAAGGGTGTCGCACGATCGTCGCTCGAAAGTGCGACAATCGTACGACAGTCTATAAATTGCCACTAGTCACTGATAATCTTGAGTAGTCTTTAGTAATCATGTGATGGTCGTATGACAAGTTGTAGGTGATCGCATAACAGGTCACGGTTAGTCGTAAGTAATCCCAGGCAATCTTGAGACCATCGCACGTTTCCTGATGACCCGTTGTGCGATTGTTAATGATGAAGTAAATTTATCTGTTCAAAGAAGGATTGGGCGCAGACAATCGCCGATGATCGTCGGTTTTAATTACACTTCGCCGGTAGTCGCAAGTAATCGTAAGCTCTAGTGTGACTGGGGTTTTACACAATATAAGGCCCAAAGCCCTAACCCAAGCAAGACTTTCCTGTGGCATGGTCACAAAATAAATGATCAGAAATAAAATAATACATACCGCATATAAGCCAGGCAAGACAAAATAAGAATCCAGCGATTGACCAGCATATCTGCCATAAAGAGCAGTCACTGCTATCATCACCTCCGCAGATAAGTTTTGTGAAATATAGCGGTGCAAGCCCGCTCACAATGAGGTAAATTGGGATCATAAATCGGATATCACAGTCGTGTAGATATGACGATCCTGATTAAATAGATAAAATGATATCGATAAAATAAAAAGAGTTCCGCCGAGGCGTAGCAAACGGTGTTCCGTTAGGACCAGCGCGTTTTCTCGCGAAACAGGACAGTACGATGGTGACAGTGCGACTGTACGATGGTGACTACGACAGTACGATGGCGAAGCACAACAATTCAATCAGTCGACAGGAAGGCGACAGTACGATGGTGACAATACGACAGTACTGTCACCATCGTTCTGTCGTGTTTCTCCATCGTACTGTCATAATGTCACCATCGTACTGTCGTACTGCCACCATCGTACTGTCATTTTTTGGCGCTTTCCCTTCTAAGAGAAAACGCGCTGGTCCTAACGGAACACCGTAATAGCAATATACGCCCGATGACAAATGTACAAGAAGGTATGATGGCCAATATGTGCCTCGCAGAACGAAGCAAATTTACTGTTGTAAATTGCTTATATTATGACTTTTCCATCAAATGCAAAAGAAAATGTACATTATAATTATTTCTAGGTAACAAGTTAACATATAATATAATTGAATAGTTTGCCTTGATTTAATTTTGAATAAAAATCAATTAAATCAACGTTGCAATTGGTTGATTGCAGATTTTTTTTTAATTTGATCAGTGTTATACTTGCATGCCAAATATAAATACAGTGAAATGAAATCCAAAGCAATAATTTCATAATTTACTCAAAAAAGAGACATTACTCTTCCAAAAATGAGTTGATTTCAATAAAAATCGAATACAACTTGTGTTGTGATATAACACAATCACAATCCTACCAAAGTTATACTGCGGAAACCACTTAAAATTGCTTATAAAGGGGAATTACTCTATTAATATTAATTTGATTGCATTGACTTGTGTTGCGATTTATATGCCAAATATAAGCACAATCACTGAAATCCTTCAAAAGTTGTTATACGGAAACCAATAATTTTACTTAAAGTTTCTTTCAAATTGGCATTACTCTATCAATAATGAGTTGATTGCAACGAAAGTCGAGCTTTACTTGTGTTGTGATTGTACATACTTATATGCCAAATATAAACAAAAGTTATTCTTGAAGGATAACCAATACTTTCACAAAATGGACATTAGTCTATCAATAATGAGTTGATTGCAGCCAAAATCGATCTTGGCCGGAGTTAATATTTAACGTCCTTGCATGCCAAAATATAAATCTTTCAAAAATTATGCTGCACAAAACAATTGTCTACGCACATTTTGACTGATGGACAACGCCATACCACAATACGCCCCGAAGGCCTTGAACATTTTAATTATTAATCCTACTTCCAGAACAAATTGTAAAATAATTAAAAGATAATGTAATAATTTACTTTAAAGGGACGTCCGTGGTCAAGTGGTTAAGGCCGTTGGCTTCAAAGCACTTACCTCTCTCCAATCTGGGTTCGAATCCCGCTAGGGACTTCAGATATTTTAGTGCAACTAGCATTCCGACCATCAGTGGTTCTACTCAGGTGAATGTTTGTCACTGAAATAATGCACAAAAGGGCTCCTGTGGTATTCCTCTATCAGTAATGCTGAAATGTCGCCATTGACCATCACAGTGTTCGTGCGACGTAAACTCCATCCAAAAAAATAATTAAATATAGATCTACAATAGTTCAATAAATTATATAACAAAACTATAATTAAATACTGAATTAATTATTTAAAAAATCGCCAGTTTTTTAAAGCATCAGTCGAACTTAATAAAAATAATGTTGAATATTAATATACTAGTTTTTTCTTATATCTTAGTTTACTGTAATGATATTTATACCCATGGCAATTTTAGCTATGCTAAGTCCAGCAATTGCTACTCCAATCAGACAAAATGATGCTGTAAAAGAAGAGAAATTTACAATAAAATATGTTACACTACAACCTCTGCTGAACAATACCCTTAGGAGACACAAGTATCTCTAAAGAGGTTAAAATGTTTTTGAAGTCTTACTTTTGAAATTAAAGCGGCCTTCAGATTTTATTTTCTGTTGGAAAATACTTCTGTGTTGTTTCAAACTAAGTACAGTTGACTCTCGGTAACTCGAAATCCAAGGGACTGGGCATTTTACTTCGAGAGAAACGGAATTCGAGTAACATGGATCTGCCGCAATTACATGTATATACATGTGCCTGGTTGAATGTGCAAAGAAGTAGGTTTGTTATTGTTGATAGTGGCAATGCTGCAATATCCTACCGTTAAAATGACGATAAATCACTTACAACTACAAATTATAAATGAAAAAATATATTTTTCAAAATTTAATACATGTATATTAATAATGAAACATAAACACAATCATTCGTAGCAATGACATAAATGCAAGTTTGTCAGTATTCATTTGTAAAGCACATGATTCTATTAAGCACCCATGTCAATTCATTACAATAAAAGCACAATAACACGATTATTTCAACAATAATTTATCTTATATTTGAAGCGAATTGATCATCGGACGAAAACGAAAGTAGCAACTATCGTGTATCGGAAGTACATATTATTGTATGTAATATGGCAGAACATTAATTATGCACATGTCATTTACGTTGCTAACACACATTAAGTCCTGAAAACGATTAAAGCCACTTTTTGCGATGTGTTAATAATAAATAATGAAAGGCAATTAAAAATTACTATGAAACGTGTGAACCACAAGTGACAACATCTCACTTTGATGTCGCTGACCTTTGATCAGTCGGCTGTTTTCACACTTCGACTAAGTGAAATGAAAATATGTTGGACTTTAATTGACGGGACCGAATTTTCTTTTCGACTAAACAGGAGTCTCGGTAAGTCAAAATTTGACCTAAGCGGAGTTAAAATACAAAGATTAAGAAGGAATTTTGAGGGGACTTTAGAAATTCTTCGACTAACGCGGAATTTTGAGTAAAGCGAGTTTGACTTATTGAGAGTCAACTGTATTTCAGTAATTTTATCATGGAAAAGTGCATCATATCATTAGTAAGCCTTCTTCAAAATAGCGTCCAAAGATCTATTTATAACGCGTCAGTGACGTTTGTTCCTATAAATAGTTCCTAAAAATAGAAGATCGGGAAACGGATCGTTGCTTTACTAATATAAATATAGAGACCGGACCAGTGGATTAGATGTTTCGTTTGATTTTACAATTATATAAAACGATTGATCTAAAAGTAACATATTTAACCTATAGAAAAGCTGAAGGCCGATTTAACATATCTATACTGTTGTTGGATAGAGGTTATTTCTAAATAGAGGGCTCGAGAGGTATTGTCACTGACATAAAGGCTTAAACATTGAAACAAAGAATTCATCATTCGGATTATAATCGAGATTATTAACAGTTAAAGGCACATTATGCCCCAGAAACCAATACATATTTCATTCATTAGAAAGGTAAAACGTGACTTATGTAACGAATTAATTATGGTTAAAGAACATGTTATATGCCTATAGCACTGAATGTGAAAGTATTCTTAATATAACAGTAGCAAAATGTAATCATAGTAGTATTTTGGCTGCCACACAAATTACTGTACTAATTATCAAAAGACAACAGAAGCAAAAGATGGTTCAGATAATTAGATAATGAGTAACTTTTTGGAAATTACAACATGGCACTAAAGACAAAAATCTTATGAGAAATAAATCTTTAAATATCTCTTGAAGCATAATGGGTCTTTAAGTGTATAAATATACTGGAAAGCAGGTTGTGCTAGGGAAATCTAATTCTTAAAAAGTACTAGTTTCCCTAAATAGTGCAAACACTATGAACTTCTTAAAATATGGAATCAAACAAATTATCTTCGCTAAAATACAAAATTACTTACATACTAAAAAGCAAGACATTGCATCAAGGTCTTCATCTGTATCTGTTTTTTTCTCGTCAACTGCTGTCCCAACCTTTGTTATAAATTAATACGTCAATAAATTAGTAAGTGCGCATGCGCAAACAAGCGGCGAAGAATAAAAATATAAGCTATTATAAATGTAAATGTTTTAAGAAATTCGCAGATAAGCGATGTATTCGAAACACAATAAAAATATTGATGTAAATAAAATAAAATGGAAACTTTAACATTAAAGGCAATTTAACCATCAGACACGAATATACATTTACTTCTTTAGAAAGCACAAACATGAAATTATTTATATATTGGTTTGAGAGCATGTTAGATGCTTGTAACCTGAAGGAAAATTCGATAAACGTGTTATAAAAGTAGCAAAATGTAAACAAAGTAGTATTTTTACTTCCATACATATTTCTAAGTTACTGTAACTGTACTAATTGCCAAAAAAAAAAGATGAAAAAGATGGTTCAGGTAACTGGCCAATAAATAATATTATTGAAAGTATAAAAGTACACCAAAAATAAAAACTTAAAAAAAAAAAAAGCATTTCTGAGACATAAAGGGCCTTTAAGATACTATTGATATGATATCAAAAATATGTATATGAGCCGCGCCATGACAAGACAAACATAATGCGTTTGCGACCAGCATGGATCCAGACCAGCCTGTGTGATCAGGATTTACAAACCCTGTAACAAGTAGAGAAGCTGATAGCAAGCAGCATGGATCCTGATCAGACTGTGCGGATGCGCAGGCTGGTCTGGATCCATGCTGGTCGAAAACGCATTATGTTGGTTTTGTCATGGCGCAGCTCATATACATCAAACTGCTTACTGTTTTTTCTGATGGTGGCACAAGTACGTCTGCTGCCCCAGGGTTTGGTTCCGGTGGCAGAACATCAATATTTGTTTGATCCTCCCTATAATCCACAAATAATGTACAACCGTTATCAGAAGGATAATAGGATTATTATACACATGTATATGTTTACAACAGAATGTCCGAAATTTGAAGCAAAACAAGTAACATGCGGCATGAGCCCGGCCTGTCACAGTAAAAAAACGATACGCTGATAGCCTTTGGCTAATTAATACCCATTGTGGTAATTTGAACAGCTTTTTTACATACTTCCACATGACCAGTGTCAAGCATTTGGCCTTACATTGTTTCTGCGGAAGTTTCGACTGGCATTTATTTTTCCGTAACGTTAGGGGATTTAACAATAGTTCACGCCGTTTTCGGACAATGCTTGTACATTTCATCTATCGCCTTCTATCAACAAAAAAATGCAAGATTTCAGAATTACTGAGCACACTTTCTTACGCGCATCAATGAATCGGAAATTCTCGGATGAAATATATCCAATTTTAAAAGTGAATCAATACAATATGAAATGAAAAGCAGCTTTGAAAAACTCACTGCTGTGAGCGTGACCGTGTATGATATCAAAATTGGAGGTGGCGATCCCAGGTCCCAACTAACCAGTCTTTTCGGAATGTAACATTATGAACGATATAGTGACAATGAACCTCTGGTGGTTTTTGACCGACGTACATTAAATTGCCCTCCATGGCCAAGGAGTTATGGTAATTGACTCAAAATCACCGGAAGGGACGTAAGATTCTTTTATTATAAGAGCTTTGTAGCATACAGAAGATCGGTGATTCTTGAAATAATACACAGAGGGACACCAGTTTTAAACAGTCTGATAGTCGCAACATGACCTTTACCTTGTCGATGTGACATACACCACCTCCATTCACTTACCGCAGAAGTCAGATATGTAGATATAATCAAAGTTCCGAAGGCACTACAGTTCGGACTGGCATTGTTTTTTTCCATAACGTTAGGGGATTGAACCAACAGTTCACACCGTATTCAAACAAATCTAGTACATTTCATTTATCGTCTTCTATTTGCCAATTCGCAAACAAAATGCAATTGACCCTTATCGTGCCTGCCGATATGTCATCCCCTCCCCCGTCCCCCTAACAATCGATCAAAAATGTAAATAAATAAAGAACACAAGAGTGATGGAAAGAAAACAATTTTTATCTGTAAAAGTGTTTGCTATGAAAAGCGGAAGAAAGAGGATTTCAAGGAATTGTGTCTGTTTTAAAGCCAGAACTGGTGAAACCACTATTACTAATTTAAAAGGTTTGACCGTTACTACTGAATGTACATGTTTAATTATTTTGTATCACATGACAAGCAATATACATGTGTGATCATGTGAAACGAATTCGAGAATTTCCAACATTTCTAGCATTGATATTTTTTACTGTCACTAACGACTTTACATATTTTTATCTCAAGTTTATTTTACATTTTTGTATCAAGTCTTCAACATATTAATCCACATGCTGTGAGTTAAAGTCGGTCAGAAACATTTCTAATTGAAAGCTATTCTTTTGACGCCGTCAGTCTCCCAGGCGTCAATAACAAGTCCAATATTGGCTGTGTCGTCTGCTTCATAAAATTTGCTAAAATTTTCCTTTCTTCTTCAGCCTTTTCTCTTTTTTCTTTAAGGATCGTTTCTCCAACCAAGCTCTGATGAACCCGAAGCAGCCCGGATGTTGCCCGCGTTTCTTCATGTCGTCTGCAGGTTTACACTCAATGAATGCTTCCATCGGCTGCTGTACCTTGCTTGATTTGGTGGCGTTCTGTTTCTGCACAGTCTATTGCCAAAAGAAAACATAAATGGCAAATTTTAGATTTGTTGTACAATTAAAAAGAATAGAAATTTCCATTAAAATAAATATTAAAATTAAGAAACATTGTATATGTATTTTGATTTTATGTCAAATAAATGCATTATAGTTTATTTCTGATATTTTTGGATTCTTTCACCCGCAAACAAATGAAATATGTTGGAATTTAAAATTCCAAAATAGTTCATTTGTTTGCGGGTGAAAGAATCCAAAAATATTTTCGGCAAGTCACCTTACAAATTTAATCTTGCAATTAATCAATTAACCAGATGGACTAAACTTAATGCTTATATGTGTTTTAGGCGACGGGAAACTTGCAACTTAAATATTGTAGCAAAATGTTAATTTATAAAAAATGATCCGACATTGTCTTTTTCAATCTTTAAAGTTAAAACAATTAAAGCAATATAAAAATTATATTGACATGTTTTATCAGTTTTAATATGATCGGACAGAAAACATATTGTTGAAACTTACCCTTTTCTTATTCTTCTTCATCGCCTTTTTAGTGGTCACCTCATCGTCACTCTTCGTTATTCTAACATTTGCATCTTTACATTTATCTCCGACATTGGCTGGCCTGGCTAAAAACATGTCTGCTATTCTATGAAGCCTTTCTGATTCTGTTTCTTGCCTTTTAGGATTATCCTTCTCAAGATTTTCGTCAGTTGGGTGTATTGCAGCGTATTCGATGTCAATTACTACTAGATCCTGTTTATCACTCCCAGCTTTAGACTGAAAACAGTTCCTTGTAGGTAGATCTGCACTTTCGTCTTTTCTCTTTATTTTACGCTGATAGTCAATACTCTCTTTGCTGTAAAGCGGTCTTGCTAAAAACATATCTGCTATACGTTCAAGTCTTTCCTTCTCTGTTTCTTGCCTTTTAGGATTATCCTTTTTAAGATTTTCGTCAGTTGAATGTATTGCAGCGTATTCGAAGTCAATTACTTCTAGATCTTGTTTGACACTCTCAGATTTAGGTTGCAAACAACTGCTTGTAAGTTGCTCTACACTTTCGTCTTTTCTCTTCATTTTACGTTGATAGTCAATACTCTCTTTGCTGTAAAGCGGTCTAGCTAAAAACATATCCGCTATACGTTCAAGTCTTTCCTTCTCTGTTTCATGTCTTTCCGTGATATCTTTTCTGAAATTGTCGTCTGCATTTTCTGCCAATGGATGTATCTTTGTGTATTCTATATCAACCAGTACTAGATCTTGATAATCCTTTCCAGCCATTTTAGGCTGTGAGGAGCTTGTTGCCAACCGCCAATGTTTGGCCAGCTCCGCTCTATGATTGCCGTCACTATGTGACGTCTTGACGTTGTTCCTACTGTGACGTTATTAATTACGTCATGAACCTTGGTTGGTTAACGTTTGTTTTATTAATATCACTATCTTAAACCACTGAGATGGAAAAGCTTAAAACAAAACTCGTTTTACAAAGATAAAGTGAAGCACTTTAAATGGAAAATTCTGCAAAAAATAATATTAAATTATACTCAGAATTTAATTTAAAAAAGTCTTTTTTGTGAAATTCTTAGCTCGAGTTTAGCAAAGCTTTCATTTGTGTGTCAAATTGCACAATAAAAATTAATATACTAGAAAAACGTTGTGAGAGAATGATCTAAATATTTACAAATGTTATAGGTTTATACCTACATATCTCGGAAAAAAAATATTTCCAGTCCCAGCATGTCAAGAAACCTCAGAAAAGTCCCTTTTAAAGGGACTTTTCTGAGGGTTTTTTTTTTGCATTATGGGACTGGAAAATTCTTTCGAGATTAATGCTCCATTTGATGCAGATCTAGACCAATAAATTGTGTGCAAAATGACAGATTGTTCGCTCACTCAGGTTTATTTTTTGTTGGTTTTTTTTGTTGTTGTTTTGTTTTTTTAGAAAAAAATATTCTTATTGTGCAAAATAACCCAAAATTGAAAAGCATTGCAACGCTTTATACTCAAATCGGATTATTTGATTTAATCTGAGTATATTTCTTAATTATCTTTGAAATTCGCAAATATTATAATTTTAAAGGGATATTCAGGCAAAATAATGACAAAAAAAATAAAATGATCTTAAGTTCTCAAATCACGCTAAAATGACTTTTCTTGAAGTTACAGCATGTATTTCTGTTTAAATTCTAAATATTTTGGGTTTGAAGCGTACATATATCTATATATGTTGAACAAATTTAGACGCCAATAGAATCACCAAATAGTTTTAAAACAAGTCAGGTGACTTGAACAAACCCTTGAAGTTACAATAACAAATATTGTGGATATTGTATGATTGAAACAAGCCTAAGTCATTCATTTGACATGTTCAATAACGTTTCCAGAGTTCACTTTGACAACTATTGTGAAATGCTAGCGCTCTAACCTGACCCACGCGGGTCAAGTTAGGAAACCACCATTTTATTCTTTATATGGAGAAAAGTTTCGTTCCTTTGACTGTCTAATATATTTATTTTGAAGGCATTTACAAAATAATGAATGAAAACTTCAAAAATAAGGAATGAAAATTTTGCCTGTGTTTCCCTTTAAGTACCTCAGGTGATATACGTAGGAAATTCAAATTTTATTTTTTTTAAGCTTAGGAGTTCCTTTAAAGTCTAGTACACATTTCATTTCGCTGTGTATTTAATCACATCGACGAAGTTCATATGGCGACTTAACAACTTCACTGGTTGAGAAAGGTCTCGCGTGTCTTTCTTTCCATGTATTATTTCAGGCGCGAACGGGTAGAACTGCCAGTCAGCTGAAAATATGCTAGCCGGATAGTTACTTCCCTAGTAAGAATGCAAAGTCAAAAGTCAGTGACTTTTATCCGGTAAAAAAAACCTACATTTACAAAATGCATGTATTTACAAGGTATGCAAAAAACCTGTATAGTTAAAATTTTCTTTCCTATTGATTTTTCCTTTTAGCTTTTTTTTTGTTTGGAAAACGGATAACTTAAATTAACTAAAATTTTTATTTATATTTTAAACAATTTAAAATTAATTTAAATAAAATTTAAAACCTGTAATACATTGTTCTTTTACGGTTAGTAAAAGCTTTTTAACCCAATATAATTAAGGGAAAATTAACTTGGGTAATATTTTTTTTTTTGTTTATTTATTCATACCCCTTTTGCTAAGATTCAAAAGCAAGCGGGTTTGTTTCCCGGTTTTGCATCATAGACCGGATCTTAAAAAAATAAATTTCATTTTTGCTCAAAATAATAAGACATATTTTGACAGATTTTCCCAAACTAAAAGTTTAATTTCCTTACATTATATTCGTTAAGGGAAATTTAAATTGTTGAAAAAGGTAAAAAACAAGAACCGTTAATTCAATTTCATAATCCCTTTTAATTCCCTTTAAAAATTGTTTAAAAGGAGTAATAATTCTTTTTTGGCTATTTTTTGAATTTAAATATTTCCCACACTTTTTTTCGAAATTTTGTAACGTTTTTTATTTGAGAAATTCGGTAGTTTGGGAACGGGGGATTAACAATTCGCACATTAATTATCACCGGAACAAAGTGAAAGGTTTTGAAAAAAGGTGGAAAAAAAAAGCCCTTGTTTAATTTATCACTTTAAGATTTTTAAAAATTCCCTAGAATATTTAAAAAGGTAAATAAATTTGGTTGCAAATTCTAATTAAAATTTTTCCTTAAACCAATTGGCCCAGGGTTTTTTCTTTTGGACCATCATTTCTTATGATACCAGTAAAAAAGTTCAAAAATTAAAAAAACGAACCTACAAAAAGGTGGGAACTTTTTAAAAATTGGGGATGTTCAAATTTTATTGGAAAAGGGAAAAACCGATTTAAAAAAAATTTAAAATTCAAGTACAATCCTTATACGCGGCTCAAAAAATTTGGGGGTTTCTATAAAATTATTTACTTTCGAACAGGTTTTATAACCAATTTAAGATATTTCCTAAATATGTTTTAATTTGCCAAAAAGAGCCAATTTTTTAAAAAATGGTAAACTTAAAAAATGTTTAAATATATTACTGGTTAAAATAAGAAAGTTAAAATTTATTACATTAAAAAATTTATATTTTCTCTAATTGGCTTTTTTTAAAAAAAATATGTTTAAACCCTTTAAAATGTCAAATTTAAATTTTAATTTTTTTCCCATTGAGTTTTTTAAAAAGGAAAATATTTGCCCTTTTATTTAATTCAATTACAAATAAATTTTAAACTTTCACGTTGACTTTGATTTTAAATTTTTATCCTTACCTTTAAATTTGAATAGGTTATCCCTTTAATTTAGTTATTGGTAAGTATCACCTGTGTTCAAATTTTCCCTTTTCTTTGATTTTCGGGTTTAAAAATTCCTTTGAATAAAAATGCGATATCAGATTTTTCTTTTCCGTAACTTTCTTTTAGTTTATCCTTACTTTTAATGGGTTTGTCTGTGTTTTACCCTGGTTACTAGGTTCTTCCCCTTCAAATGCGTTTCTGGAGTTCTTCCCTTGCACTCTTATGAATTTCTGCACTGCGTTTCAAAATTCCTTCCCTACACTGCTTATCAGAGTTTTTTCCCTCAATCTACGCAGGGCAATCTCCCTTTCCCCTTCCACTCGTTATCCCCTTAAAGTGTTTTTAAACCGGGAATTCCTTTCCCTTTTTCTACTTTACACCCCGCGTTAAACCAGAGTTTTTTTCCCCCTTTTAAATGCCGTTTTTCCCAAATTTTTTTCCCCTTACGCATTTTTTTGATAAAACTGAGAAATAAATTTTTAAACTTGTGAAGATCAATCCAAAATAAAACTTTTAAAATTCATACATATCGTGCCCAAATTTTTTTTTATATTTAAAAAATTGTACAAAATAAGTCAAAAGCTACCCCCTGATACGTAATCCCAAAAAAATGGATACCTACATTTCACGTCTAGGGTATAAATTACATACTTATCTATGTACTTTTATTCAATCTTCTGTCCCGTATGTATAGGTTTGAAAAAGTATTTTAAAATTTAAAAGAATCCCCTGAAGCAATATAGTATGTTATGTTTTTACTTTATTAAAAAAACAAAGATAAAACATTGCCCAAAAAAACCCACGAAATGATCTACTTACAAAACAAAAAAAAAAACCCAAAAATTTTAGTTTTCACACACCAGCCCCTAAAAAAAGTATGCTTGAAAAGCCTATATCGGAATTATGTTTTTTGTTATTTCCAAAAACCCCAAACTATATGCAAAATTTAAGCATTAAACAGCGCTGTGCACAATTCACGGTTATTGTTTCTCGAGAAAAAATTTAAAATTTTGTAATTTTTGCCCTGTTGTTTTTTTTACAGTTTAAAAGGAGAATTATTTTAATGGCTCAAAATTTCATGCGCAAAATTTTTCAAATTTATAATTGAATTAATTAAGAAAAACAAAAAATTTTTAAATTTTATATTTTAAAAAAAGTATTAATTGTTCAATACAGAAAATTTCATCGTATATAATTATATATTTTTATTTTAATGGGGAAACATTTTATATTGGGTATATTGAAAAGTAATATTTTTCAAATAAAAAAAAAAAAAAAGAATGAATGTATAATGTTATTAAAAACTTTATTCACGAAAATTGTTTACCAAAAAAGCCGAGCATCAGTTATTTAATTTTCCGTTACATAGGAAAATGCTCATTTAATTTTTTTAACCCCGGGGTTTATTATAAATTTTCCCGTTTTTAAACTCTTTTTATCCCACAAAGTATGTGAAAAGCTCCCGTTGCCCCGTTTTAAAAGGTCTTCCGTTATGAATGGGAAAAAATAAAACACTGGAAAATGAAATTTCGAAGTTTTTTAAATGAAGGTGCATAAAAGAAAATTGTAACCCCTCAAGGTTTGGATAAAATTTAATTTTATGCTGTTTTTTTAAATTGGGAAGTTTTGAAAAATAACACCTTTTTGTTTTTCAACCAGTAATTTTTAATTTTTTTCATCCCTCTCATTTTTCGGAAAAAATTGGGGACCACCCAATTTCCCCCGCCTGTAAAATTTAAAATTTTTTACAAATTTCATGAAAAAAATACTAAAATTTAAAAATAAAGAAAGTAGATTTTCTTACCTTGATTTGAAAATAAACCACCTGCGCCCGTTTTATTTACTAACGTTTTTGTTTTTGTTGTTAACCCAAAAAAGTGAAAAAATTTAAAATTAAAACTCTTTCACTGCGAAATTAAGCTAAAAAACGTTTAATTTTTAAATTAAACAATTTAAAGGGGGGTATTTTGACTTTACGGCGAATGATCAAAAGGGCCCTTTTTTACTTCCGTTTTTAAAATTTCATTTAATTAAAAGGGAATTTTAAAAATGTTTCCCTGATGTAAATTAAAGATAAATTTCCCGGGTTTTCTCAGTACTAAAAAAAATATACTTTTTCTTTTCTCCCCACTTTTATTAAGTTATTTTTCCGAAAAAATTAAACTTCCCTTTTTGCAGATGGAAAAGGGCAAAGGCTGCACGTGACCTCCCGGCACTTTGGGTTTTGGGGGTTTACATAGAAAACGTAAAAAATAATTTAAAAAATTAAGAAATTTTTTGTAAAAAAAATATTAAACTGAACTTTACATAATTAAAATTTAAATATTACTTCATATTTTCTAAAAAATTTTAAAGGAATTTTTTTTAACTATTTTTTAAATAAAAAAACCAAAAATTTTTGTAATTTTTTGATTTTTTGTATTTTCTGATCGGCCAAAAATCAGTAAAAAACCCTTTGCTAAACCCTCCACGGTTAACACAAAAATTTTTTTTAACAGACCTAACAAAAGCAAAGTAAATTTTTTCAAAATCCCGAACTGCTTAAAAAACCAGCAAATTTAAAAAAAAGAATAATTTTTAATGTAGGGGATTTAACGAATTTCCCGTGCATTTAAAAATAAGAGTAGTCAATAGAAAAAGAGGTTACAATCACAAAATTTTGGGGGGATAATACTTTTTTTCCCAATGAAAAAAGTTTTGGCTATTTCCGTAAAGCCCTTTAAACAATTTAAAAGCTAAATTTTTTGCTTGTCGATTACCCAAAACCCAAAAAGCGTAGTACAAAATAAATCTGAAATTTTCGAGTAGTGGAATATTTTACATGTTGTACTGTTTTGTCAGAAGATTTTCGCTAAATTTTTATCAGTGTTAAAAAAAAGGTTTAAAAGTGAACAAAATATCTTTGAAAAATTTCTAAAAAAATTAAAAAACACGAAATAAAAATTCTCAAATTGAAATTACAAAAGTATTTTGGTTTTTTTTCAAGCTAAAATACGTATTACTTCACCCTGGTGCCCGAGGTAGGGGCGTCGTTTTTGGGTTTTTAGAGGCCTAAAAGGTTTAAAAACCTAGTCCCAGGCAATTTTTTTTTTTTAAAAGTCTTTTTTTAAAGGAAAAATAAACCACGATATGCAAGGATAAAATGTTTGGGGTCATAAAAAATGAAAAAAAGATTTTTGATGGGAACTCGTAAAGGGAAAATTTCCCTATGTATCAAACTCAAAATGTTATAGACGCAAACGCTGGTAAGATTTTAAATTTTAGTAATAAAAATAAAATTTAAGGAAAACACATACAGATAGCAGTATGAATTTTGATTTTAAAGATCAGAAAATAACCCCAAAAAAAAGGTTTTCAGCCCTTTTTATTATTTGTTTTTAAATCGTCAACCCCAAACAAATATGGGAAAACGAAAATTTTAGACCTTAAAAGCTGTTAATTGCAAAAAGCCGAAAAAAAATCCGCTTTTTTTTTAAGCAGTTACTTTCCCCTTTAAAAGTAAAAACTTTAAAGGGCCCAAAAAATTTAGGGGGGATCAAAATCGTAAATATGGGGCACCCTGACAGGGGCATTAATTTTTAAGCAAAAAAAATTC